ATATGACAAAATTCAACATTCTATTCATGATAAAAAATAAAACTGTCAGCAAAATAGGAATATAAGGGAATTGCCTCAACCTGATCAAAGCCATCCACAAAAAAATCTACTGATTACATTGTACTTAACTGTGGAAGGCTGCAAAGATCATGAACAAGACAAGGATAACTGTTCTTATCACTCCTCTTCAACATCATATTGGAAGTCCTACACATTGCAATAGGGCAATTTTAAAAATATATACAGAGTGGAAAATGAGGGGGAAAAAACTGTTCCTATTTTCAGACAACATGACTTTCTAAATAGACAATCCTTAAGGAATCCACTTAAAAAAAAAAAAAACCCTCCTGGAACCCTGGAACTAATAGGTGAGTTTAGCAACATGTCAGAATATAACGCCAACACGTAAAAATCAATCATATTTCTATATGTTAGCAAAAAAAGAAAAAATTTTTTGAAAACCAAAAAATTTTGAAAACCATTTTTCTTTTTTTTGGTGAGGAAGATTAGCCCTGAGCTAACATCTGTTGCCAATCTTCCTCTTTTTGCTTGAAGAAGATTGTCGCTGAGCTAACATGTGTCCAATCTGCCTCTATTTCCTATGTGGGATGCCACCACAGCATGGCTTGATGAGCAGTGTGTAGGTCTGCAGCCGGGATCCAAACCTGCAAACCCCGGGCTGCCGAAGTAGAGCATGCAAACTTAATCACTATGCCACCAGGCTGGCCCCATGAATATCATTTTTAATAGTCCTAAAAAACTAAATGTGAAATAAGAATGAGAGTGAAACAAAACATGTATAGGACTTATATATTGAGAACTATAAAACATAAAGGAAATCAAAGAATCACTAAATAAGTGAGGAGATATACTGTGTTTGTGTATTGGAAAACTCAACATAGTAAAAATGTCAGTTTTGCCCAAATTGATCTATAGATTTGATAGAATTCTATCAAAATTCCAGCAGGATTTTTTGTAGCTATAGACATGCTGATTCTAAAACTTTTATGGAAAAGTAAATAAATTATAATAGCCAAAATAATTTTGAAAAAGAAGAATAAAGTTGAGAGAATTACTCTACCTGATTTTATGACTTACTATAAAGCTACAGTAACCAAGATAGTATGGTGGCGGTAAAGGGATAGACAGAGGCATGAACGAACAGAATGGAGTCCAACAATAGATGGCACAGACATGTCCAATATATTTTTTAACTGAAATTTTTATGAGATAATTCACATGGTGTTGTAAGAAATATGAACCCTCCCATGAACCCTTTACCCAGTTTCCCCCAATGAAAACATTTTCAATATCGTAACCAGGATGTTGATTGATACAATCCAATGATTTTTAAAAATTATTTTATTGAGGTCTTATTGGCTTATAACATTATGTAAATTTCAGGTGTACATTATTATCAGTTTCTGAATAGATTGCGTCCTGTTCACCACTGATTGCCTAATTTTTTTCCGTCACCACACACACATGCCCCTTTACCCCGTTCTCTCTCTTCCCACCCCCTTCCCCTCTGATAACCACTAATCCGTTCTGCTTATCCATGTGTTTGTTTATCTTCCACACATAAGTGAAATCACACATGTTTGTCTTTCTCTGTCTGGCTTATTTCACTTAGCCTCATATCTTCAAGGTCCATCCATGTTGTCATAAGTGGCACGATTTTGTCTTTTTCTATGGCTGAGTAGTACTCCTACAATCCAATGATTTTATTCAGGTTCTCCCCAGTTTTACTTCTATGGATGTGTGTGTATGAATTTAGTTCTATACAATTTTATCACACATGTAGGTTCATGTATCTATGACTACAACTAAGATAATGAACAGTCCCATCACCATAAGGATCCTTCATGTCTAATTACTCCAGCACCATTTGTTGAAAAGGCTGTACTGCTACTATTGAATTGCTTTTGTACCTTTGTCAAAAATCAGTTAAGCATATTTGTGTGAGTCTATTTCTGGGTTCTCTGTTCTGTTACATTAATCTGTCTATCCCTCTACCAGCACTCTGTCTGGATTGCTGTCACTATATGGTAAAACTTGATATCGAGTAGAGTTTTTCTTTCCACTTTATCCTTCTTTGTCAAGATTGTTTTAGCTATTCCAGGGCCTTTGCTTTTCCTTATAAGTTTTAGAATAAGATTTTTTACGTCTACAAAGAAATTTGCTTGAATTTTGATAGGAGTTACATGAAACCTAGAGATCATCTTAGGGAGAATTGATATCTTTAATATGTTGTATCTTTAAATCTATGAACCCAGTATGTCTCATTATTTAGGGCTTCTTTGATTGCTTTCAATACCATTTTTTAATATTTAGCTCACAGACCCTGTGCAAGTTTTGTAAAGTTTATACCTACGGATTTAATTTTCTTGGAGCAATTGTAAGTGCTCCAAAAGTTTTTTTGGTTTCCACATATTCATTGTTACTATATAGAAACATAATTGATTTTTGAGTGTGGATCTTATATCTTGAGACCTTGATGAACTCACTTGTTAGTTCTAGGAGTATTCTTGGTAGGTTCCTTGGGATTTTCTACATAGACAATCATGTCATCTGCTTTGTCTTTAGTTTTCAGTAATTTGAATTTGATGTGTCTGGGAGTGGATTTCTTTGGGTTTACCTTATTGACATTCACTGAAATTCTTGACTATGTAGATTTATGTCTTTAACCAAATTGAGGAAGCCATGACAGCCCTAATTTATTCAATATTTTTTCTACTGCGTCCTTTCTCCTCTTCTTCTAAGTCTTTGATGACACCAATATTAGATGTTTTTTTTTTTATTGCATCACAAGTCCCAAAGACTCTGTCAAATGCTTTTTCAATCTTTCATTCTTTGTATTGTTCTTATTGGATAATTTTGTAAATCTCTCTTCAAGTTCATGGATTCTTTCCTCTGTTATCTCCATTCTCCTATTAAACCCATTCATGGAGTTGTGGGGTTTTTTTTTAAGTTTTGGTTATTGTATTTTTCGGTTCCAAAATTCCATTTTTATATATTCTATTTCTTTCTAAGACTTTCTAACTACTTATTTCAACAGTGTTTGACCTTACTTATTGAAGTATTTTACATTTGTGTGATCTTGGCATTGATGTCTATTGATTGTCTTTTCTCATATGAATTGAAGCTTTCCTCGTTCTTCATATGCTGAGTAATTATATTATATTATGTTATGAGTCCAGCAAGTCTTATTTTTGGGTCTTAGATACATTCTAAGAAGAATGTTCCTTTTGTGTGTGTGTTTTAGCAGGCAATTGATCCAGCTGGTTTCAGTCTTCAAATTCTAGCCATTGTTCTGTGGGTCATCATTCCACTGTCAGTCCAGTTTTCAAAGGCTTTGCAGTGCTATTTGGAGCAGTCCTGCATATGTGCCAGCTAGCGTCCAGTTGGGGACTTGGGTGGTTGGCTAACCTAATAGTTCCATCCTCAAAAATCTGTTTAGGTGTGCTGTTTAGGGTTAGAACCATGCATGTGCAGTTCAGGGGGAAGCCTAGGAATTCATAAACAATTTCATGAGCTTGCTCTCCTGAGCTCCTCACTCTCCATGACCTCCCTTGTTTTTTCTGGTTCTTTGAGGTCTCCTTTTTGGTCCTTAAGCCAGAAAACTTGATTTACCCTGCCCTGATACACTCTTGCCATGACTGCACTTGTATCTACAGCCAAAACACCAGGAAGACTAAGAAGTATAAAGTGGTTTTGGGTTCTTAAGAGACCCCGATGTCACCACTGCCAGCACTGTCTGAGTATTCCTTAGGAACTGGGGCACAAGAGAATAAAGAAAAATAAGAAAAACCAGAAGACAAAAACAGAGCTTTCTTCCATTCTCTGTCTTCCCTGTTTCTCAAGAGCGTTTCTCCTTGAGCTCTCTCTCTTTCTGTACCGATGCCCACTTCTAGATTTTGGGCTATGTTTAGTTCAGCTTGGAGAATACTGGAGGAAAATAAAAAGATAAACTCACCATCTATTCAACAGTAATTCACATCTGGGTCTTCTCTGATGTTCCTGCTACTATTTGCTTTTCAGAGTCTTTAAACAGCTGTTGCATGCATCCTGTCCGGGTTTTATGACTGCGTTCAACAGGAGAGACAGGGTGAAGTGTGCTGACTCCATGTTACCTGGAGGGAGAACCCGTGTCATTGTTTTTGTGCAACTCATTAATTAATAATGGAACCAGTAGGACATTAATACTGGTTCAAAGAACATTTGAGGAGTTAGGCATTTATATCCAGTTTAATTAATAAGTGTTAGAAAAAGATTGCTGAGTGCATAAAAGACTGGTTAACATCCTACAGGACAATAGACCATAACCTTTGGGAGTATCTTTTCCATTGGATAGAAATAATTTGTATCTCTACTAAATAAAAATTTACATGTTAACTAGTAACTTCTCTAAGTCTGAAACTTTTAATTAATACTATCTTTACTGCTTACTAAGTACATTTCATTTTTCTTAAGTACAGAACTAATTGCATTTCCCTAGATAAACTTTGGTTAAGTATTTGCCCTTGCATGACATAGAAATTCTGTGTCATCCTTATTTTGTTTGTGTTTTTCCATGGTTTGGATAATTTTTCTTAAAAATAGTGATCCACATTCTTCTTGTAGAAGGTCCCAACTGAAGCAAGAGATGAGATAAGACTGGCTTAGACTTCCTGAGGAGGCAACCTATTTTTTTACAATTCAGTAAATATTTATTACACACCTACCATATGCCAGACATCTTGCTAAGCAATTGTGCAGAAGACGGATGCATGACTTTCATAATATATATCAATCATGTAATGTTATCTTTAAAATTAATTTCTTCTGCATAATTAGAGACTATGAAACTTTATTGTCGTCATTGAGAATTTGAGAACTATATGTGATGTGGTTGTTGAGGTAGAAAATATTCTATTTCTGTCATACGCTTCAGATTAACTCAGAGCACAGTTAGTATTTATTCATTTTGTGATTTTGATTGCTATTGTTTACTCTCAAAGGAAAGGCAGAGGAAAAAAAGAAGAGGAAAAAGTGAAGGAGGAAGAAGAAGTGTTGGCAGTACCCAAATTGCCTGGAGAAGGGAACTATGATAAAGAGTGGTACCCTCCAGCTGATTCTGACTTCTGTGTTTATGTGTATGAAGTGACCAAATCAATTCTTCCCATAACCAATATTAAGGAACAGATTGAGGTTCTTGCAAAGTAAGTTGTCTATATATACACATGCATTTTCATTTTCTGAAAAAAAGTTTTTGGTTTAAGTGGTCTGCATGTTTTAGCCAATTTTCGGATAACTACACCATAATAAAATTGAATTTGACAGCACCCTACCTCTGACTCTGAAGGAGAAACACAATGAATTGAAAAAATTCTCAATTACTATTTTAGGTCATATTTCCACCAAGAATCAGAGCTAGGAGCTGGAAATTGCTTAAAGAAAAATGCCTATGTCGTTTTCTCCAGCTAAACCATTCATCCATCAGCGTGATCCTGAAGAAGTTAGTAATGAGTCAAAAGTTTGAAAATTTAAATTATTCCTTAGGTATATGAGGTGTTCACAATTTAAAGGAATCTTAGTGTGAATTAGTGTAAACTCACAAATTATTTTCTCATATAAATAACCGTCCCCTGTTTTTATGTTGTCTGACTGATTTTTGTGTATTACATTGCCCTAAAGCGGAAGTGTGAATATTCTAATTGACGGCTGTTTGGGCCCGGCTCTGCGCGCCATATAAAGCAGGGAAGTTGCCTTTTCAATTAGAGCGTTTAATGTGATTCCACTAAGAGAAAGCTGAGAACTTGATTTGGTGACTGTAAGGGATTAGAGATCAGTAGAAATAGAGGAGAGGCTTCATGACTGACACCAACCAGTAGGTGAACTCCTGGGGTGTGCAACAGCTGCGGTCTCCATAGGTGCCTGTATCTACTCCAAACAGAAGTGAGTTGCAGTCATCAAACCTGGATGTGACAACTGCAAGAAGCACAGCCGCCAGATCACTGACTTCTTGTCAGCCAAACTGGAAGAGAACATTTTTGGCTACTGAAGTTTCCCTGGTGTCCTTGAGAAGTGATGACTCCAGCAGAATTCTGATGCAGCTCATTTCAACATTTGCCAAATTTCCTCATGCTTTGTTCCTATCAGAAATACTTTTCATCATTTCCAAATAACTGTTGGTTTAACCCGAGCCCACCCCAAGCTAGAGATACAGAGATTTGTGCCGATGCCTTGGGTTCCTAGCATTCCTTACAGTACACCTGGCTAGTGGAACCCTGGGTCAGTTCAGTGGCTTTCTCCCCAACCTCCTCTGTTGTTTTTCACCATTGTCTTCTTCGATTTGTTCCACATACAGCAAGGGGAAATTGTTTCCTTAAAATTTGCAATTCTGCCTATACTCCAAGATTGTAGTAGCCTTAGTTGACAGAGGATTTTTGCAGATGTGTTTACTGACTTCTTCAGTGACGTCTATAGTATTAGGAGAAACCCACAGGCAAAGTAGACCACATGCATCCCGCCTCTCCACCTAACTGTTACTTAGTGCTCCTTTTACCTCTTCCTCTCTCCTCTAACTTCAGTGTTAGCCAAATACCCTGTCTTTCTCTAAATTAAAAAAAAAATTTTAAGAAAAAATAATTATAAAGCTTGAAGATATTTGTGAATCTAATGGGAAAATTCCTCTATGTTTGTGTTCTCTGAGTTTAAATTCCTTAAAAGAAGGATCATATGTTAGTATAATGTCTTGGATTTCAGATTGAAACATTTAAAACTACTTTTAAAGAGTAAGAAAATGTTAAAACTGCATACATACTGATACAAATTTACTGTGATATTGATTTGTATCTTGTTACAGATATTGGGAGAATTAGCATTCATTTCTTTCTTCGTGTTGAATGAAATTGTTAGAATTTCAGTTTATATATGATAGTTTGAATACAATAAGTGTAACATTAACTTACGTATAGTAAGTATATTTTTTAAAGTAAAGCAAACAATAAAAATCAGAAGGATTATAGTTTTTACACATATAATTATACATATAGTTACTCTCAAAGCATCCCAAATGAGATCTTAAACTCGACTGATTTGATCTCAATGCAATTGACACAGGTATGTGGCAGAAAAAATGGGCGGTAAAATTCCGAAAGAGAAACTCCACGATTTCGGCTGGGAGCTTCACATAAGTGAACTAAAATATCAACTTAAATCTAATGTTGTACCAATTGGACAGATCAAAAAAGGAACCTTCTACCATCGAGCCTTGCTTTTCAAGGTATTTCAGATATTTTGCCTCATTTGCCATTAGGTAAAAATGTTTTGTCTGTATCATAATGGAGTGAGCCAGTTGCTAACATTTAACCAGACACTAGTAATCCTATCATTTAGATTTACTTATATTTGAGATACATATGTATGTGTATATAGATACATACACACACACATACATACATACATATTCACCAGACTATTGGAAGCGTATTCATTCAGCATTTATCATACACCTACTATAGGCCAGGGCCTCTTCTAGGATCTGGGAATCTATAGTTACCAAGGTGACAGTCCCTGCATGCAGACTTGTGGGTTCCAAGGTGATGTCAAGGAAAGTTTCTGGGGAGGAATTGGCACGTGGCCTGAGTATGAGAGACTACATAGGATTTCAGCAGGTAAAGAAGGAAGATGAGAGTATTCTAAACCAAGCAAACATTTTATACAAAATTACAGGTGTAGAGTCAATGGTCCATTTGAGGAATGTAGAGTAGCTTGTCTGAAGAAAGGAGAAGGGGTTGATTGGGGCTAAAAGACCAGATCACAAAGCACTGTGTGAGTTTGCACTTGATCCTAAAATCTGTGGGTAGCCACTGAATATTGTTAAGGGGAAAGTGGTAACATGGTTTTGAGAGACTGTTCAGGCAGCAGAATGAGGAATCAATTAGAGCAGGGGCCAGGCTGGAAATGGGAAGACCAATTGGAAGGTCAATGGAGCAAGAAGTATGGGTGACCTATGCTAAAACCATGGTCGTGAGCGTGTGAAAGAGGGGGTGAATTTAGAGGGAGATTTAGGAGATGAAACTGAAAGGAGCTGGTGACCGCCTGCGTGTGGTGTATGATTGCACGAGAAGAGTAAAATTATTTTCAGACTGTGGTCAGGGCAATTGGTAATGATGGCATTATTCACCAAGATGGCGGACACCAGAGAAGGCTCAGGTTTGAGAGAAGATTATCTCTTTGTTCTTGTTGTTCCATTATACCCAATGTCTGGAATAGAATAGGAATTGGAAGAATGGTTTGAGTGTATAAAACTCCTACCCTCTCCCAGATACCTATAAATCTCATTGCATCTACTTATATCTTGCCTCCAGTCTCAAGCTAATTCTATTTATAATCCAAGTGCCAGTCTTTCCTATTTCTCTGGATTTCTTGCTCTATCAATTCTTCTTTCCTGTCTCAAATCTCCTTCTCTCTATTAGCTGTTTCTCCTTTAAAATCTAAACTTAAGTCTACAATATTGAAAGAGAAAATATAAATCTTTCTCGTAATATCTACAAATACTCCTATAGCTCCTAGTACCATGACCACCATCATTTTGAGCTATGAATGAGGCACTTGAACATAATTGTGAAGGGTCTCAAAAATGCCAAAAGTTGAAATGACTACCCTTATTTTAAAGACAAGAAAACTGTTACTTAGAGAAGGAATTTACCCAAGGCCAACCAGAGATACAGCTGGAATGTGAACCCTTTCCTATCTGAATCAAGACTTACCATACTGTAGGGCCAGCCCTGTGGCAGAGTGGTTAAGTTCATGCAGTTCGCTTCAGGGGCCCAGGGTTCCGCCAGTTCGGATCCTGGGCACGGACCTAGCACTGCTCATCAGGCCATGCTAAGGTGGCGTTCCACGTAGCAACAACCAGAAGGAACCACAACTAGAATATACAACTATGTACTGGGGGGCTTTGGGGAGAAGAAAAAGAAGAAGAAAGAAAAGATTGGCAACAGATGTTAGCTCAGGTGCCAATCTTTTTTAAAAAAAAAAAACTTACCACACCACTTCTATCTGTAGATAATTCTCATTCCTGGTCAAAATTCTGAGTGATCTCAGTTCCTTGTCCCTCTCTGGCACACCTCATTTTTCTTCTCAGCTCCCTGCAGTCTGGCCTTTACTCCCTCAGTAAGGAGCATAGTGATCTATTGTCTGTCTTACTTGATATGTCAAAGAATTTGTCATTGGTCCTTCTCTTTCTTTGACACCACTCTATTCAGTAACTTTGTCCTCTCTTTCCACTTCATCTCAGTCTCCTTTGGACACCTCTTTTCCTCCACCCCTCTCTCTTAAATGTTGGGATGCCTCAAGGTTCTGACCCGGACTCTTCTCTTTTCTCCCTTTATGTACTTCATATGGTGACGTCATCCTCTCACGTGGCGTTAAATACCACCAAAATGCCTAAGGTTTCCAGATCCTTTCCTCTGTCCCACCAACCTCTCCTGATCCCAGATCTATGTATCTGTTTACCCTGTAGCCGGCTGCACTTGAGTGTCTCATAGATGCTGTATTCATCTGCTGGGGCTGCCGTAACAAAACACCGTACACTGAATGGCTTAAACAATAAACGCTTCTCACACTGCTGGAGGCTGAGAAGTCCATGATCGAGGTGCCATCAGAGCCAGCGTCTGGTGAGGGCCCACTTCCTAGTTCACAGTGGCCACTTTCTTACTGTAGCCTCACATGTGGAGGGAGAGGGCGCTCTGGTCCCTTCCTCCTCTTACAAGGGCATTAATCCCACAGTGAGGGCTCCACCCTCATGACCTCATCTAAACCTAATAACTCCTTAAGGACCCACCCCACACTGGGAATTACCATCACATTAAGGATTAGGGCTTCAACATACGAATTTGGGGAAGACACAAACATCCAGGACACAGCATTATGCCAAAATGAATTCCTTACTCTCACCCCTCAGCTGAGTCATGCAATTAATTACGAGTTCTTGCCCACCACTGAAATCCTGAACACCAATACTCACTGATAGAACCTCTTATCCTTCCACCTCCTAAATTGTTCACTCCCCCTACATATACTCTTCATCTCCACCATTTTCTTCCAGGTTTTTGGCTCTTGTTTAGCAGCCTAGATAATTCGTCCACAGACCTTAGAATTGGCTCACTCATTTCCCTCATTTTCTTGCCGCATCCTTCCACCCCTTTGCCTTACCAGCCACCCTGCACCAATCCAGTTGGCCTGCCCCTTTCCATGATGATACTCAGGCTGCAGAACATGACAGTGGGGAATGCCCCAGCTGATTCAGGGTGTCCAATGAGGGTGCGCATGCGTGTTGCCTGGTCACCCTTTTCCAGCTCCAGTCTCAGGCTTTTCCTCCTCAGCAGCTGTGCCCCACATCTGCCCTTCTTCCTCAGCCTTTTCATCTCCCCCTCTTCCTCCAAGCAGATGACCTTGTTTCCCGCTTCACAAAGGAAATAGAGACTTTCAGATGGAAACTCATTCAACTTAGTTGGAGGCAGTATCACCCTGAGGTTAAGAACTCAGACTCTGAGAGTCCCTGGCTTTCCCATTAGGTCATCACTTACTGGGACGTTGGGAAAAGTATCTGACCTCAGTTTTACTCTCTATAAAATGTGGAATACAATAGCATCTATTCCACAGGTTGTTTTGATGATTTAAAGTGCCTTGATGTAGAATAAGAGATCGGTAATTATTACTTTGGAAAACATCATATAATTAGATGTTTAGCTTTGTCTCTCTGCCCCACTAGACTATGCGTGCCATACGCTCAGATACTGCTGTGTTAGAATTGACTGCTTACCAGGCAGTCTCAGGCTAGATAGAACAGGAGGCCCTAAAAATGACAGTCAGGTCTTAATCATCTTGGTCCACTCAAGACTACCTGGTACCGTCATTACATAGTAAGTAATTGATAAATTACATTCATAAATAAATACATGGGTTGTTAAAACAACACAGTCCTTGCCTTCTTGTAGTAGGAACATTAGTTGTGTACTTGCCCTGGGCCAGCATTCACGGCTGTCAGCACTTGACACGTATTAATTCTCTTCATCTTTAAAACCACCCTACAAGGAAGGTAGGTATACTGTTCTTAGCCTGGTTTCACAGAGGAAAAGAGGGAAACACAGAGAGGCTGAATCATTTGCTTGAGGTGACAACAACTAGTATGTGGCTGAGCCAAAATTCAAACCCGGGCAGTCTGAGGCAGCTCTCTTATCCACTATGATATGGCTAAGAAGTTTCTAGATTATTTTAAAGGCACTTTTTTAGTAACCTCAAAATCAGGACAAATTGAAGAGACAGCTTCTAAGGAAGCTAAGCAACCCCTGAGGAGGTGGCAGGAGGCAGCACCAGGACAGACACTCACGGTCCTGCTCCTCTTGCGCCCCATCACCCATCTCCATCACACAGAATAAACCGGCTAGAGACACGTCCCCACCAATCTTATCCCTCTATGCAATCCCACCGCATATCACACCCAAAGAGCAGCCCAGAAACAGGGGAAGATTGATAGATGTACCAGCGCTGAAAGCCCGCGGAATAGCTTTTCTGCAATGACATCATCAATCTTGTGCTGATACAATGCAGCGTAACTGCCTGGAAAATGTCACTTCCCAGCAGGGCCTACACAGAGATTTTGAGTGCACAGAATCTTGAGGAACAAGGGAACTTATCACATCTTATTGGCTCCTATCACAACATTTCGCATTTTTTCAGCCTCCTTTCTAAGCATGTCTTCGCAAGAGTTGTATATTTCACCTTCAGCCAAGGTGGGTCTTACAACTGAGGATTTTCCTCCACCCCCCTCCCTCTTCACTCTTGGTTGATCTCGTGTTTTCTCCCACAGGCTCTGGCTGATAAAATTGGCATCGGCTGCTCTCTGGTTCGCGGGGAGTATGGCAGAGCTTGGAATGAAGTTAAGCTGATGAATGAATCTCGTAAGGGAGCGATTGGGGGTCTGCCTCCTCCCGAGGTATACATAGTTGACCTCATGTTCCATCCAGGAGGACTGATGAAGTTGAGAAGTAGAGACGCAGATCTGTATAGATTTCTTTAAACCATCAAATGAACACAAAAAGGGTTCAAGCCAGAAATTCATTATATGCATTTTCTACGGAGTTCACCAATTGATTTTGTTTCTTTAAATAGAAGTATTAGAAATGCTCTCTCTGTGTAGAAATGAGGAGAATTGGATCAAACTTGGTTGTGCTTCTGATTCCGGGCTTTTGGGAAGAGTTCAGTCTGATTAGATCATATTATGGGCACTGTCCCTCATGGAAAGCCTATTATTGTCAAAATTAGTCCAACCCACTATTTCCTAAGGGGCATCTCTGCCTGTTGGGAATCATGTGGAAAAGCATCCAGCTGCTATTCTCAAGACAACACCATGGCCTCATGACTGTCATTCTTCATACCCAGAATGCTTCAGGAACACTTGGTTAAATAAATTCCATGTTTTTTTATTGTCTTCAGTCACTTTGTCCCACTTTCATAAAGTAAGATTATTGATAGTTTGATTATTATAGCTCTATTTTAGTATTATAAATTCTTTCTACAAATTTTTTGTTCGCATTCTTTAAAACTTATGATTAAAGTAGGCTATTTAAATATACTTCACTGAACTAAAAATATTTCTAAAAGTGATTTTCTATAAACTGTCTTTGTCTTGTCTGTGTTGACTTGGAAAATATGCCTTCAATTCAAAACAATTCTGATTTGCTTCTACACATTTTAATGCTGGGTCACAAACTATTATTTTAAATTTATATCACTTAAAAATTCTTCTTTTCTAGAAAATTTTGAAATATAGAAATAGAGTAAAGCTTTACTCAGGAATTGCGTTTTCGATATTGAGCACAAAATGGGAGAGACATGCATTTCAAATGGTAAGAGAAATAAAAACAAGTAATATGATGAATCTCATCAAGTATTTATTTCCTCGTCAGGCTGTAAGTCTAAAATTTACTTGTGTAATCATTTTACTAGAAGGTTTTTAAAAGTGAGTTTGATTTTAGAAATTAAGGCTAAGATTATTCTGTATGTAATTTCAAAGAATGTACAATTCTTTATTTCAAAATAAAGTTCTTTATATCAGACGGTGTGGTAATTATTTATCTTGCAATTTCATGAATTAGAGCATGGATTATACGATATAAACCCATCTAAGCATTTTCAAAGTCTGTTTGATTCCAGAAAAGCATTTAAAGTGGATTACAAAGATGTAGAAAGATGTAGCAAGATAAAAATAAATGAAAAAAGGTATAACTGTAGGAAAAGAAAAGTTCAACAAGGCCCAAGAAATAAGCTTAGAAATTCAAATGCCTCCATGAAAATCCTGTCTATTTGTTAGAGAGTGGGTGAAAAACTTGACTCTAACCAACACAGTAGTCAACGCAGAGAGAAATGCTATCAGTTACATGGTTTACAAGAGAGTCCACTAGATAAAAGCACAAAGCAGTTTCTCAGGAGGAACAAAGACCAAGGGAATTCCTCTTTGAGAGCTTCATACAGATGACAAATGTAACATACAAAATAACACCTTTGAAAAACAACTCCCTAGTAAGTTCTGGAAGAGTTGTCCTAGGCCAGTGACCTGACATCAAGATGGAATGAGGCAAAAGTTCCATAGAGAGCCACTATGATATGGTCTAGGTAGACACTACTTTTTTTTTTTTTGCATCTTTGAGACAATTATGCATACCCTCTGTGTCAGCTAAGTTCCAGGTAATTATTGAACAGGAATGAGTTTAAGTTATATTCTCAGACAAGTCTTTGAAGTTGATTTTGTGTTACCAGGTAAGTGTAAAGCCATAAAATTTAATAATAAGCCAATCTATTATAAAAAGAAAACACATTTACAATAGCAACCACAATTATAAAAGACCTACAAATAGATTTAACAAAGAATACACAAAAAAAAAACTATAAAATTTTAATGAGATCTGGATAAATGAAGATACACACCAGTTTTCTTGATGGAAAACTCAGCAATATAAAGATTTCAGTGCTCTCCATATTAATATATACATTTAGTATAATTTCAATTAGAATCCCAACACATTTTCTTTTCTGGAACTTGACAAGTAGTAAAAGTTATCTGTAAGAAGGAATATCAATCATATTTTGAAATAGGAAAAGAGGAATTGTCTCTATGATGTATCAGAATATATGTTTAAAAACAATAATGAGTAAATTAATATGGTACAGGCAGAAAAGCAGAAAAATATTAAGAGTCCAGACACAGATCCATATATATATAGGTGGGGATTTAGTATTGATAAAAGTAGCTTTTCTGCCCAGTGGGGAAGTCAACAACCTATTCAGTAAATGACAATGGGAAAATTATAATCTTGGCAAGGGGAGAAACTGTCTATTTATGACAGAAAAACTAGAAGCCATAGAAGAACATATCTGACAAGTTTGGCTACATAAAGCCTTCAAATTCCTGTTCAGAAAAATACAGCATAAGCAAAAATATTTCTGCTCAGCAAAATAAAATATAAGCAAAATTATAGGCAAGGAGAAAAAAATTTGCAGCATATGTAACAGACAAAATGTTCATATCCTTAATAAACAAAGAGCTTCTATAAATCAATGAGAAAAAGATAATCCACTTGGAAAATAGGCAAAGACAACTGTATTTGAATAGGATATCTATACAGTGATAATAAACAATCCCCACATCTCAGTAGCTTAAGAGAAAAGTCTTTTATCACATTACATGTCAAACACAGGTCAGTAGAGGAGTCTCTGCTTCACACAGTACTCAAGGACCCATGCTGACAGCAGCCTCTCCATTTTGTAGCTGCATTTCTGGAATATATGACCTTCTCAGTCACGCCAGAGGAAGGAGAAAGTGCTAAGGATCTCCTTCAGGAATTACACGCTTTGGACTGGACTAACATGTTATTTGGTCAGAACTAGACCCAGGAAATATTGGATAATATCTGGAACCATGGAGGTCTGAGTTAGAATCCTGACTCTGTCACTGAAAAACTGTGGGAACTCTGGCAACTATTGTTGTGAGATTTCAAAACAATTTATACAAAGTAACTTGTTATTTTGTCAGAAGCAAAAGCTACAGTTTCTCTTCTGGAAATCAAACCATTTCATTAAAATTAATATCTAACTTTTTAAAATAGCTATTAATTAAATGGAGAAACGGACAGTTAGAATCCTTTTCATAGGCTTTCAGCCTTTGAGTAAGTATCATCAATGAAGATTCTTTTAATAAGTACACATCAGGTTTCAAAAGTATTATTTCCTTGTCAAAGAAGCAGCATTGTCATCCATGAAAAATACTTTTCCAGAAGCTCAAAATAATAAGTAAAACCAAATGGATACTGACCTTTTCTTTTTACTGACACAGAATTCTTTAAATAGTAACTTGTTTCTCAGCAAGACATCACCATAGCCCTCCATTGCCAAAGGCGGTAATCTGGAGCTAAGATGCAGGGGTTTGGGTTTAGGAGATGGTGAATTTTCCATTAGAACCATTCACAGAAAGGCTGTAATCCACATACTGATAGTAGTTGTTTGTTTTTTATTGTTGATATTTATTTTTTCTTCTCCCCAAAGCCCCAGTGCATGGTTGCATATCCTAGTAGTAAAACCTTCTAGTTCGTCTATGTGAGCCACCACCATAGCATGGCTACTGACAGATGGGTGATGTGGTTCCAACTCAGGAACTGAACCTGGGCTACTGGAGCAGTAGGAATGCCAAACTTTAACCACTGGGCCATCAGGGCTGCCTCTGTTTCTTTTTTTTTAACTCAGTGGAATACTAAGGGTAGGATAAAATGACTCTATGAAAACTATATTTAAAATATCACTGTTTTTGGTATATTCTTAGAGCAATACAATAGTATCGAATCACTTATCTAGAGTTTATATTTAAAAGTACTATTCTTTATTTAAAATTACATGAATGTTATTATATAGACCACTAGCAAAATCTTTGCTTAGGCTTATGCTTTTAAAGCCACGAATATAATTATTTTAGTATTAAAAGTGGACTTGACTTCAAAGGACAGCCATCAAAGTTCAGGTGTGAAAATGTTAATACTGCAAATTCAAATAAGACTCTTGCAGAACGGGCACAGTACCTGTAGGATCTGCCAATAAATAAACCACAAATAACAACTGAAAAAGTAAAAAAAATTGTCAGAAAAGGTAAAGAAATTTTATTGTGGTGATTTTTCTTAGAAATTCAATAAGCTTTTATTACTGAGAGGCAGTATAATAACAGTGATAAAAAGCCTAGGTTTTGGAGCCAGAGCAAATATTAAGCTCTGCATCAACCTCCTTCTACCTGTGTGACTTTGAGGAAATTATTCAACCTCTCTGGTCCTCAGTTTACTCTTCTGGAAAATGAGGATGAATAACAACAAATATTTACATATTGTTTACTATGTGTCAGAGGCATTTCTATGACTTCATTTAATCCTCCCAGTAGCCCTATGATGTATATGTAGCATTACCCATGGTTAGCAAGTGAGGCACAGAGATGTTAAGTAACTTACCCAAAAATTACTCAGCTGGCAAGTGGCAAAGCTTTGAATTTGAAGCTAGCTTGTCTCCGGAGGCCATGCCCCCAATCTGTATGCCTAATGAAGCTGCTGTGAGGGCGAAATAAGACCGTGCATATAGATGACAGATGTGTGTGCACAAGGGCGGGGAGGTGCACGTGTCCGTGAGTGCATGTGTGTGTGCATGCACGTGCATGTGGGTGTGTGTTTATGGCTTTCTATTCTATGCTCCCATAATGTTCTGTTCACACCTCTGCCTTTAGTGTGTTTGAGGGAATTCTTTATTCTTCATGTGTCTGTCTCTTCTTTTAGATCAGGAGTCAGTAAATGTATTCCTTAAAGGGCCAGATAGTAAATACTTTAGGTTTTGCAGGCCGTACAGTCTCTATGGCGACTGCTCAAGGCTGCTATAGCACAAAAGCAGCCATAGACAGTACCTGGATAGTCAACTTTATTTAGGAAAACAGGTGTGGGCCAGATTTGGCTCATGGGCCCGCTTGTCAACCCTTGCCTTAGCTGACGAGCACTTTGAGGGGAAGGACATAGAAAGGGCTGTACCCTACTGAACCTAGTGCCTGGGCACCTTGGCTAAGCACTCAGGGGAGACTCACGCTGGCATTTTGTCTTCTTTGGTTTCTCCAAGATCTAAGATGGATCTACTTGATATTAATCCAATAGATGCCAAAGCAGATGCCTTAGTTTTCAGTAACGATGAGGACAAATTTGACCTATCTAAAAAAGAAAAAAATTTCCTATTGTCTAAAGTGTCAAGGGTCTGAAGTTTTTTTACCCTACTTGTAAGTTAACTGCCACAGTTTCATGGCTGCTGTCAGAAGACATGAGATTCCTGGATCAGAGACAAAGGACTTCATTACTCATGGCACAGCAAGCGGCATGAGATGGCATGTTGCGTCAGTTTCCCTTGCCCCTAAGTCTCCTG